GGGTGAGGAGACAGTGGTGAGCTCTGCCTCTGACTGGTTTTGTGTATTTCTGAGTGGCAACTTCCCTTCAAGTTTAGGGAAGAGTGTGAGAAGGACCTGCTAATCCTTCAACAACTGCTAGAGATGCCAGAGGGCCCATCAGTGAGGAAGTTCCAGCTGCTGACCTCCCCTTTTGTGGGACAAGTGGTGGCCAAGGTGGGGGGAAGCAGCCGAAAGATCAACGTGAATGACCTGAATGCCCTGAGGCTTCAGGACTCCCAGGTGAGCTGTGCTAAAAGATGAGCTTCTTGAGCCATGACAAGTCTCAGGGAAACCACCCTTGTCCTGCATCTGGGTCACAGAAGGTGCAGAACCTGGGAGTGTTTCCCTCAGGGTTTCCCCTGGCTAAGCTGAGATGTCTGTGCTGTTGATATATATATATATATGAGATGGTCACACTGGGTTGGTCCTGCTGGAGGCTTCACTTGACTGACGTCCCTCAGATGATGATTTGGACCTGACTGGACAAACGCTGGTGCAGCCCCAGCTCGGATTAAAAGTGGGAAGCAAAATGAGAAGCACAAAGTGCCTGCAGCAAAAGGTGGTGAGGTGAATCAGAAAAAATTATGACAGATTTCGTAACCCTGAGTGTTTCTCCTGGTGTGTCTCTTTATCTTGACAGGAGCCTCAGGGAGAGATGTACATTTGAGTGGCATCTAAGTACCTTGGCTTCTTAAGGAATGCTGAGAGGATGCCTGCAATCCTGATGGGAATGACTCAGATGCTGATGAATCCTGTGTTCAGGGTGGGGTGATGTGCCCTCTGTCTAAAAGAAGCTGTAGAAAATAGTCACTTGTATGGAAACAGCCAGAGGAAGTGTTCCTCTCTATATCTCCAGTATATCCCTGAAAATGTTCCAAGTCAAGTTGGATGAGGCCTGAACAACCTGGCCCAGTGGAAGATGTCATTGCCCATGGCAGGGGGTTGGAATGAGATTATCTTTAAGGTCCCTTCCAACCAAAAGCAGCCTGTGAATTCTATGATCCTATATGGATCCTTAGTACAACCCACCTCTTTCCTCAGGTTCACGGGAAGAACTTGTACCTGGCATTTGTGGCAGCTGAAAGTCCCTCAGGACCAACTGCAGAAGAGACAGTGCTGCAAAAAGAGGCTGCTGCTGTGGCAGGTTCTTCTGTCCAGGAAGGGCAAGAACAGGTTTGTGCTCCCCATCCCCAGGATGAGGAGCTGCAGGAACTCCAGCACTCAAGGTCTGAAGCCCCAGATGCAGCAGAAGGTCCAGGCCACTGGCTGCGCTTCCACTTCGGCTTGTTCGGCAGCGTCCGGGCAAACGAGTTCTCCAGAGCAAACAGAGCCAATAAAAGGGGGGACTGGAAGGACCCTGTACCCAGGTATTTCGTGGAGCCCTCTCTCTCCCTGCCTCTCATTCTGGAGAGGCACTCTTCTATCCAAACTAAATTTGCCTGAGGGTGCTCTTAGCCTTGATTTTTCTCTGATAATTCCTAAGATAAGTAGGCACGAGAGATGGTGTGAGTGGGTGTGGGGTATGTTCGATCTGCAGTGGAATTGTGGGATGCATGTTGCCTGCCAGCTTGGGGATCATAGTACCAGCTCTGTTAACATTTTTATCTTAGAGAAGTTTTAGGATGCCAGGCTGAATCATGCTCTGAAGATGCCAGTTTCTCCCAATTAAGTGTTTAAAAAAAGCCTTGGATGAATGGCAAACGTCTAGGGCAGCTGGAATCACTGTACTTGTTAGGGACACACTCCATGCACCACATCCTGCAGTCTTTTAAAGGATTACTTCATTTCTGTGCAAACATTTTTAGACACAGTTTTTTGTGCTACTTCTGGCATTGGTTTCCCTGATCTGTGGACCCTACTGCTGGAGCCTTGGTTGTCCAAGGACCACAGGGCAGGAGAAAGAATCCACACAACCTGTGGAGAATTGTTCACCACCACGTTTTGTGGCTGAAATCATTAAAGAGGCTACCTTACCTTGAGACAGTGGCCTGGTGCAGAATAGGACAAATGGTTCAAGGATGTTTCTGATGAGACACTTCTGCTTTTCTGCTTCTCCCAGGCTGATTCTCCACTTTGAGAGCGGAGGCTTCCTTGTTTTCTACAACTGCAGAATGCACTGGTGCTCCTCTCCAAGGGCTGATCCTGCTTCTGACATCCTGTCCATGGAGTTTCACCGTGGCCGGGCACTGGATGCCCTCCGTGCACCCAATCCCATCAGCTACACCCTCTTAGACCAAAGATACTTTTCAGGGCTGGGTGAGTTCCAGGGAATACTTGGCAGAGCAAGAAATGGAGGAAGGTGGGTAGGATGTCTGCAGATCCAGAGCTGCATGTCTGAGAGTTTTACTCCTTTGCCTTGTGGCTTCTGGCTCATCCAGCTGAGGGTACATGGTCATCTTCAAGTTCTGCTTCAAAGGTAGAGGGAAGAGAACTCTGTCCAGTCCAATCCCAGCTCTAAATCTACTCCTTGCATGCCACCTCTGAAACAGGGAATGACATTGTTGGCTGTGATCCTTGAGGGCGAAGTCACAGATTGGAGCCAGAAGTCTGCATTATCTTGATTAGAAAGACCCTTATTGTCTCCTTATTTCTGTCCCTTTCCAGGGAACATCATTAAGAATGAGATTTTGTACCTGACCAAGATCCACCCACTAACACAAGGCTCTCTCTTGGCTCCCTCGGATCTGGAGCGTCTGCTGGACTGTGCCCTTCAGTTCAGCTCTGACTGGCTGCACCACAAACTCCGTGGCCAAGGGCTGCACCTCCAGATCTACCAGAGGGAGCAGTGTCCCCTTGGCCATCCAGTGATAAAGGGAACTTTTGGACCACTGGGTGCCTTTAAAAGACTTACATGGTGGTGTCCTCAGTGCCAGCCTGAGGTGCTGCCAGGGGAAGGGGATCCTTCCCCAGTCACGGAGTGACCTGGCTTTGCATTCCTCCTTTCCTGGAGGGTGGTAGGTGATGTCTCAACCATGCTCCTAATTGCCTTGAGGAGGTCTTCTTGGTTTCTTTGAGCTGCTGAGTTTGGTTCTTAGTGACAGTGAGCTGGTAGAGTTAAGTGCTCAGTGGAGGTCACAGGACTCACTGCAGCACTGAGTGGATGCAGAAAGTAGTAAAGTGGTTGTACATGTCTTTTTTTTTCCACAATGAACAGTATAAAAGGATTTGACCAGGTATTTTGGTCACCCTGTTCAGACCACAGTGGATGGAAAGTGTAGAGTGTTGAGCAGGTGGTTGCTGTGGTCTGAAGTGACCCTATCCCTTGACCACAGTGGAGTCAGCAGAACAGAGTATATCCCACTGCCTAAAAAGCTTGATTAATTAGGAATTAAATAATCCTGCCTCTGTTTGGAGCTGAATACCTGTGTGCTGGGTGTGGTTAAATGTGAGGGGCTGTTCCCTCTGTCAGATCTGATGGGAACAGCTCCCTCCTTTCAAGGGGACAAAACCTACGTCAGCAGTGCTTGGTGGAGCTCATCTTGTTCACAGGTTTCAGCTTTGTGGCAAACTGCCAAATCCAGATCTCACTGTAACAGTAAAAAAACCCTAAAAATACTGTGTGTGTGACAGAGATGGCATAAAACTTAGGATCTCCAAGGAAACCTGCAAGCAGAAAGGTTTGGAAATAGAGATGAAACCTTCTTTATTGAGCATCTCTGTACGTGAGGCAGGAGCTGCTGCTGTTCTCTCTCTGTGGATTTGGGTTTATTTTAACAAATTGTTTGCTTGAGGAAAAAAATAAAAGCTGGAAATGGAAAACTGGTGATGTTCATCTTAAATTCAGTGTGTCTTTTCTGGTAGTTTCTTGGTTAAAAACTGAGGTGCACAGGGAAATTCCAGCTACCTGGAATTGATTAACAGTCAGCTGTTTGGTGCTGCTTGTAGAGCATGGTACTAGGAGCTTTCCTCAGAAGTTTGTTTTAATGGGAACTGGATCTAAAGATGTACTGCAAATCAACTGGGAATGCTAGAGGTAAAGTCCTCTGTTTTAGGCTGCTGCTTCCCAGGCAAGGCCTGTGCAGCCTCTCCCCTGGGAACTGCAACACCCTTGAGTGGTTGCAGGTTACAGGATTGCTGAATTAATAGGGTTACAGTGTCAAAGAAGGCGGTTGATGTTCCTTCTGATCCTATCCTGAAAGGTGTCAGTGAAACGCCCTTTCAGTGCCCTTACAAAACAAAGAATCATAGAATATCTTGAGTGGGAAGGGACCCATAAGGATGATTAAAGTCCAACTTTGGACTTCGGAAGATAGTCACACACAATAAAAAACCCCAAAAGCTGAACCTCACACCTTTAAGGATGAGGAGGCAGCAGGGATCTGTTGGGTTCTCAGGCTATGGAGATGCTCTGAGGGCTGGAGCCCCTCTGCTCTGGAGACAGGCTGGGAGAGCTGGGGGTGTTCTCCTGGAGAAGGCTCCAGGGAGACCTGAGAGCCCCTTCCAGAGCCTAAAGGGGCTCCAGGAGAGCTGGAGGGGGACTTGGGACAAGGGGGATGGCTTGAAACTGCCCGAGGGCAGTTAGATGGGATATTGGGAAGGAATTCTTGGCTGTGAGGGTCTGGGATGGAATTCCCAGAGAAGCTGTGGCTGCCCTATCCCTGGAAGTGTCCAAGGCCGGGCTGGACGGGGCTGGGAGCAACCTGGGATAGTGGAAAGTGTCAGGGTTGGAACTGGATGAACTTTAAAGTCCCTTCCACCCGAACCGCTCCACGTTTCTCTCACAACGCGGCCTCCTCCCCTGACCCTCCCTCACAATCGGGCTTCGGGGCCGCTCCTTCCCGCCCCGCCTGTGCCCACACGCGCCGCAGCCAATCAGCGCCCGCCGCCGGCCGTCACACCAGCCGCAGCGCCTTCCCATTGGCTGGCTCTGCGCTGGTGCGAGTGCGTCTCCGCCAATGGGCGCCGCGCCCGCCCCACCGAGCGATGCGAGGGGCGCTGTGATTGGTGGCGGAGCGCGGCGGGGGCGGGGCTGGCAGGGGCCGGTTGAGCGGCGGGAGGGGGGCGGCGGGAGCGGCGGCGGCGGCGGCGGGGACCGAGCGGGGTCCCCATGGAGCTGCTTCGGAAATGGCTCGGCCACCCCGAGGACATCTACAACCTGCTGCGGTTCAAGATGGGCGGCTACCGCGTCGTCATGCCGCGGATGGACCCGGTGAGCGCGGAGGGATGCAGCAGGGGACGGAGTGGGGGGGACTGTCATCTCCCGGCGGGGATGCGGCGTTGTCATGGGTGACTGTCGCACGGCCTGGAGTCCATAGGACCGGCCCCGGTGCTACCGGTGGGCAGCGGCCCCTTTGTGCGCCATGTGTGTGTCCTCGGTGCTTCCCGGGCATCCCACCTGCTTCGGGCGTCCCGTGTCTTGCTCGGTGCCAGTACCCTGAGAGCATCCCACCGGCTCCGGGTACCGCTTGCGTTACTCGGTGCCGGTACCCCGCGTACATCCCACCGGCTCCAGGCATGCCGCCGGCTCCGGTGCTTTCTGCGCATGGCACCGGCTCCGGGCATCCCGGCGGTGTCAGGCTTTCCGTGCATTGCTCGGTGCCCGTACCCCGCGAGCATCCCACCGGCTCTGAGCATCCCACGGGCTCCGAGCATCCATTGCATTGTTCACTGCCGGTACCCTGCGTGGATCGCACTGACACTGGGCATCGCAGTGTCCCGGTGCTTCCCGAGCATCCCACCGGCTGCTGGCTTCCCATGCATTGCTCGGTGCCGGTGCCCTCTGGACATCCAGCCGGCTCCGAACATTCCACTTGTTTCAGGCTTCCCCGAGCATTGCTCCGTGCTGGTACTCTGCGTGCATCCCACCGGCTCTGGGAGTTGCACAGCCCCGGTGCTTCCCGAGCATCCTACCGGCTGCTGGCTTCTCATGCATTGCTCGGTGCCGGTACCCTCCGAGCATCCCACTGGCTCCGAACATTCCGCTCGTTTCAGGCTTCCTAAGCATTGCTTGGTGCTCGGTACCCGCGTGCATCCCACCGGCTCCGGGCATCCCTTGCATCTCTCGGTGCCGGTACGCTCCGAGCATCCCACCGGCAGCGAGCGATGCTCGGCCCCGGTGCTGCCCGTGCACGGCATCATCCCCAACCATCGCACAGTCCCGGTACCCCGCGGGCATCCCACTGGCTCCCAGCGATGCTCTGCCCCGGTGCTGCCCGTACATGGCAGCGGCTCCGGCCGCGGGACGGGGCGGGTTAAGGGGCGTGTTTGGGGCCGGGGGCGGAGCGGCCGCAGCCCCCCGCCGCCGCCGCGCCCCCATGGCGGCCGGGTCCCGGGCCATGTCGCTGCTCCGGCGGACACTGACCCTGTCCCCGCCGCGGAACCCCCCCCGGGCTCCGGGCCGACGGCGGGGGCAACAGCGGCAGCAGCAGCGCGGGGTCCCCGCGGCGCCCCCGGCCCCGCCGCCCGCCGCCCCCCCGCTCCAACCGGCCCCCCGGGCTCCGCTCTGCCCGCAGGACTCGCTGGGATGTGGCCTCCGCACCTGCTACCGGTACCTAAACCAGACCAGCCGTAGCTTCGCCGCCGTCATCCAGGCTCTGGATGGAGAGCTGCGGTAAGAGGAGGGTCGCTGGGGTCCCAGGGAGGGGGGCTGAGGGTGCAGTGACCCCCCGGCACTGGTACTCCCTCTGAGGTGGTGGGTGTGATGCCCTCTAACACTGGGGATCCCCGGGAGATGGTGGGTGTAATTCTCCTCCTCAACAGGTGGTGTGTGTGATGCCTCCCAATACTGGGGATCTCCGGGAGCTGGTGGGTGTGACACCTCCCAGTACCAGGGCTCCCTGGCAGAGCTGGCAGGAGTTGGTCCGTGCAGTGCCCTCATATGCCATTTTTCTTTGGGAGAGCTGCTGGGACACGCTCCCTTTCCCATCGAGAGCTGCCTGGACTCACTGGGCTCAGCCCCACCCCGTGCAGCGGGACGTGGGTTTTTTCACGTCCGAGCTGGCTGTGCCCCATCCCCCCTCCCCCAAACTGGGTCCTGGGACTGAGCAAGCCCTGGGACAGACACTGCAGCTTCCTGGCCAGCAGATTGTTAAACACAGGGCCTGGCCGTGTGCCATATGTGACACTCTGGGAATGTGTCCTGGCAGTGCCAAGGCTGGCACTGGCCTTCGGGCCGGCCGGAGGGAGGAGGTGAGGAGAAACCTAGGGCTGACTGAGGGTCTGGACCCTACCTGGAAGGTGCTTTTGGAAGCAGCTGCCTCAAAACCTGCACAGTCATTGGAGAGGGATCGTTGCACGCTCATTTTTTGCTGTGCAAACTTTGCTGCCCCGTGAGGGAAAGCAGATGGGAATAGTAGGGAAAGCTTCAGATGGGAATAATAACAGAGGATGCAAAGCTCAGCTGGCCCAGGGCCTCGTATGAGTATGTAAATATTCTCCATATAATTCATTATATTCATATGGTAGTTACTGATTGCAGTTTGTAAATCGCCAGTTAATCCCAAAATGGGTTAGTCATCAAATTAGGGGGTTCTGTAAGTTGAACCAGACACGTTGCAGCTCTGCTGAGCAGTTGAACCCAAACACTGGGTGATCTGTTGGAATTCTGAGCCCTGGTTTGGCATTTTGGATGATGCCCCATAGCTGTGTCCAACAAATATGAAACGGTGTCTGCAGCCTGGTTTACAGGAAAGGCAAAGAAATTCAGTGGTTTGGCTGGAATTGTGTGGAAAAGTACGAGTGGGGCCAAGAATTAAACTTTTTTTTCCCGTGCTTGTAATATTAGCTAATGTAGAAATTAAGGGAAAAAAAGGCCAATTAATAAAACACCATGAAACCTGTTAGCAGTGTCCATCTGCCTTGTGCATGCCTTGGTCATCCTGCAGTTATCTTTGTCTGTTTTTTTTTCTTCTTTAGTCCTTGCCTTGGGATCAGGAAGGCTTTCTCCCTTCAGGGCACAGAAACTTCTGCCTGGCATCCTAAAAATGCTCTTGCAGGATCTTTGCAACCCACTGCCGTGCAGGGCTGGTGGTTGAATTACAGTGGTGCTGTAGTGGATCAGGAGAAGCTCTAATTTTCAAAGCACAGTAGCTCTGCTGGAGAATTTAGGGACAAAAGATGGAAATACAAAATAGGGAGGATATAGAAATAGGCAGAGCAGCAACCTTACCAAAGGAATTAATTTTGCTGGATCAAAAAAGTGCTTTCATTGATGTTAACCCCATCAGGGAGTTCAGTTGAACCCCTGTAGTTACAGATATACATCCCAGAAGGACTGCTGGAAAACAGAGAACTTCTGGATGAGTGCTTGGAGCAGAGCTTCCCTGGCCAGGCAGGGTACTGGTAGTTGAGCTGAAATGTTTAGTTCCTTCTTGCTTATTTTTTTTGGCCCCATAACCTGCATGTTTTGCTGGCCAGGGCCCTGTCCAGCTCATTGCTCCGTGGTTAGGGCGTTGTCTTGGAAGGTGGGAGGCTCAAAACTGCAGTTTCATGGGCAGCTGAGCCAACAGCTCAACTGCTGCTGGTGGAGAGGAGTGTGAGCCAACATCATAGCTCCTCTCCTGGGGATGGAGAGGAGGAGAGGGAGGCTCCTGCCTTCCCCCTCTGCCAGACCCACAGTTCTACCTGTCACTGGGACCCTTCAGGATCCATCTCTGAAGGTTTGGACTGTCACAAGGTGAATGTGATGGAAGGAAAAAAGGAGACCTGGGAATTGGGGAGCTGTGTCTAGGACAGGGCTGAAACTTGAGCCCTGGGATGATCCAGACTTGCTCTTTGGAAGTGGGTGCTTCCAGATATGCCCAATCCAGCCTGACCTTGAATATTTCCGGGGATGGGGCATCTGGCACCTCTCTGGACAACCTGTGCCAGTGTTTTACCACCCTCACAGTAATAAATTTCTTCCTTTAACTTGCCAAAATTGCCATGGATCTAAATTCAGTATATGATCTAAGTTAGGGATGCAGTTATGCTCTGGATGCAGAAGTGGGGTTAAATAAATGTTTAACTATGCTGACCTCTGGAATTACTGCTGGCTCTTCCCTTGGCATGGTGCCACTGTGAGAGGTGCTTCTGGGATGGCATTTCAGGTTCTGCTCTGCCTTTCTTGATTACTGCTCGTGGAAGTTGCTGCTGGAATTGGATTGGAGCCCTGGGCTCTTGGATCCTGTTGGATGAACCTTTGCAGCCCAGTTAGTATGGAAAGGAACAGGAATGAGAGAGCTGCTGTGAGCCCTCAGATATGTGGTTTGATGGAGGTGTTAAATACCCTTCAGTCGAGGAAAAAAAAGCCAAATTTAACAGCATTGGCTCTAAGAGCAAGTCAGTTTTCCCTGGATTCTTAATCACTGCTTGCACATTGTCATCCCAGGAGTACAACACTGTCACCAAGTAATTAGCATTTAAGCAGTCCAAGCTAGTTTCCATTTGTTAAACAATCAATAAAGCCTCATCTCCTTGACATATCACTGTGCTCATGGAGAGAGCTAGGGATTATTTTATATAAATCCCGGAGCTGGAAACACTGTTTCCTGCCATCAGGACTTCTTTTTTTTGCTTCTACTGCAGGAATGTGGAGGCAGGGCTGGGGAAGGCAGGGAATGGGAAGGGAAGCAGGAATAAGGGAAGGCAGGGGCAGTGGGACTGGGAGGAGAAACAGCTTTCCAGCATCTGGGACTCATGGGAGGGCCTGAATGTCTTGTGCAGGGAGATATAAAATACAGGGCAGTTTGGCTCTAATGTTCCTGTTGTGCAGTGAGGCACCCCTTTACTGCCCCCCAAACTGGATAAAAGGCTGCTGTGTGCAGAGAAGGGGAAGTGATGAGAAAAGTATGGCTGATTTTTTCCCCTTCCCTATTTCACATTTGCTTTTTCCAATAAAATGACCTCAGGCTCTGTCCTCTGGGTCCTGGCTTTGTTTGCAGGGTTGGATCTTCCCTGCTCAGGGAGATGACAGGCCTGACCCTTCCCTGCTATGCATTTTAGAAAGCCAAAAGCTGGTCATAGTTCTCCTCAGGAAGGGAAAACCTGGATTTCCTGACCCAGCTCAGGTGTGTTGGAAGTGCTGGTATTTTCCAGTGGTATCAACAACCTGGAAGTGCCAGTGTGTGTCATACTGAGCTTGAAGTGCCCCTGCTGAAGGCTCTGTGGTTCATCTCAGCTGTTTATCCTGCTGAATAGAAAATCCCAAGTAAGGAATTCCTGTTTTTTCTCTCCTCTCAGACATGCTGTCTGTATATTCTACCTGGTGCTCCGTGCCCTGGACACTGTAGAGGATGACATGAGCATCCCCTTGGATGTGAAGGTCCCAATGCTGCAGGAGTTCCACTCCTACCTCTACCAGCCAGAGTGGAAATACATGGAGAGCAAGGAGAAGGACCGGCAGGTGCTGGAAGATTTCCCAACGGTAAGGAATCCTCCTCCTGGCTTCAGCTGCCTTGTGGCACCTTTGGGTGCCTGGTTGTCTCTCCATGTTGAGCCTGCAGAGCTTGTTCAGTCCCACAGCTCTTCCCAAGAGCTCCATCGCCTGCCCATGGGGCTGGATGCTGAGCTGGAGTGAGAAGCACAAGCATTGTGCAACTCTGTGAGTCACAGGTGATCTGGCTGTGGAAAAGTGCCAGCTCTGAAAAGTGGCTTTTTGCCTCCTCTGTTGAAAAAGTAAAAAAAAACATTGTCTTGTGGAGAGAGATTTGGGTTTGTTACCCAACACTGTGCATTGCTTGGGTCGGGTGTCCTGTGTCCCCTGACAGGTTGGGGGACAAGGAAGGCTTGTCTGGCACCTTGTCTGGACCACTGGATGGTCCAGTGTTCACAGTGATCCTGCAGGATCTGCTCTAGAGCTCTAGGAGTGTGTCTGCAGATCTTTGAGGTGCATATTAAGGCCAGGCTGGATGGGGCTCTGAGCAGCCTGGTCTAGTGGAAGGTGTCCCTGCCCATGATGGGGGAATTGGAACCAGATGATCTTTAAGTTCCCTTTGAACCCAAGCCATTTTATAATTCTATGATACAAGATAAAAAGCACCCTCACTGTTATTAGTAACAATACTGCCCAAAGTTACTGCTCTAAGGATCCTTCTAAAAGGAAGCCACAGAGAGCCAAGCAAGCCACAGCATTCTGGGGTCTGCTCTCCAGGTCTTCAGCCTCGAGGCCGATTGAGAAAGTCTGACCACGTTCAAACCATTAAACTCTCAATGTGCAGAGCGTAAAATCACAGAATGGTTTGGGTTGGAAGGGACATTAAAGATCATCTGATTCCAACCCCTTGCCATGGGCAGGGACACCTTCCACTAGACCAGGTTGCTCCAAGCCCCATCCAACTTGACCTTGAATTTTTTTGGGGCATTCACAGCTTCTCTTGGCAACCTCTGCCAGTGCCTCACCACCCTCATAGGAAAAAACTTCTAATAATATTTGGTAGAGGTATTTGTAGGTTGTGCTTCTCTTTGTAGGGAGTTGAAGCCACTGTGGCAGAAGCAGAGCTGAAATATTTCTTTTACAGACAGACTGAGACACAGGGCAGGGACATGCCAGCAGCCATGGAGGAAAACCTGGATCTGCAGTGGTGTCAGGGCTGTGATCATTCACACTGCTGTCCTTACCGCCTGCACTCCCTGGGCTGGCTGCAGTTACTCCCTGAGGGAGAGTAAAGCTTAGCACAAAAAAATGTGATGCTCCACAGCTTTGGGAAGGGAAGGATGGAATTTTTAACTTTTTTTGCAGTGTGAGAGCGTTTGAGACCTTGCAGGTGTCCCTGCCCATAGCAGGGGGGTTGGAATTAGATCACCTTTAAGCTCCCTTCCAGCCCAAACCATTCTGTGATTCCATGTTACTGGGCATGCAAAAGAAAGATTTCACACTTCCTCCATTGCTTGATGCCTTTTTTTTTTGTGGAAAATGTGCCTCGTGAAGCCAGAGCTGGAGGGAGCTCAGGAGAACAGAGCACCACAAACCTCCCCGGTTGTTTTCCCATGGCTGGTGTGATGGAGTGCTCTCAAATTACAAAAGAAAACAACTCTGTGCACCAAGTGTAGTTAGTTTTGTCCTGCAGCTCCCAGATACCCGTCCAAGGCCACAGAGCCTTCCCAAAGATGTTGCTGTGTCTGATCTCCCTCCAGAGCCCGTCCTGTTTAGACTGAGAACAGACTGAGCCTGTGCTCCAAGGACCTTGAAACAACTCTGGTTGGGGGAGTTGTCCCACATCTCCAGCCAGGGCAGGATTAGAGCCTGATAAACAGTATTTTTCTGATTTTTTAATAAAGCTGTTTTTTCCTGACACTGTCTTTTATTTTTTTTTACCGTGCTCCAGATCTCCATGGAGTTCAGGAACCTGTCAAAAGTCTACCAGGATGTGATTTCAGATATTTGCCACAAAATGGGTGTTGGAATGGCGGAGTTCTTGGAGAAAAAAGTGGACTCTCAACATGAATGGGATAAGGTGAGTCAGCCTGGACAGAGGAGTGGACTGAACATGAGTAGAATCATGGAATCATTAAAGTTGGAAAAGCCCTCTAAGATCATTGAGTCCAACCATTCCCCCAGCACTGGTAGGGCCACCACTAAGTGCAAGATCCACACATCTTCAGAACACTTCCATGTAGGGTTTGCTGTGTCTCCATGGAAAGAGGAGACAGAGCATCCCTGTGGCAACAGCTGGATGAGGGAGGCTGTGTGGGCTTGGGAAGGCTTTGAGAGTCTGATGGTCCTGTGGGTGACAGGAGGACGGTGTGGACTGTTGGTGTTGCCCACCAGCATGTTTTGGGTGACCCATCACATCAGTTTTTCCCCCATGGGCTGTTCATTTGTCTGCTGGAGGCAGAGTGACACCTTGGTGGGACATCCTTAGTGAGGTGTTTGGGAAAATGTTTTGTTTTCATGGCAAAGCTGAGACAACCCAGGGAGAGAACTTGTATAAAATTCAACTGTCAGTTCCTTCTGAGCATCATTTTTGTAAAACTCCCTGTGGCAAACAGGCAGCTCTTTGTAACTGCTCCTTTCATCTTGTTTTTTCCCGCCCTTTCCCAACCTGGCACCTCACAGTATTGTCACTACGTTGCTGGGCTGGTGGGGATCGGCCTTTCCCGTCTCTTCTCTGCATCAGAGCTGGAAGATTCTATTGTGGGGCAGGACACAGAGCTGGCAAACTCCATGGGCCTCTTCCTGCAGAAAACCAACATCATCCGTGACTACCTGGAGGACCAGATGGAAGGAAGGGAGTTCTGGCCCAGAGAGGTGAGGGAAAACCTCATCAAATCACTACTGTTGGCTGTGCATCTTCTCTGTAACAATGGTTCTTCTAATGACAGCTGGCTCACAAGTTCCACATCTGTCTACAGCTCTCTGGGTACACATGAAGGGACAAGGTGATGTCTCCTCACACTGCCAAGATGTCTCCTCACACTGCCCACACTTGTTGGGCAGCTTTTTCCCCTCTCTGTTAGATTGGCTCTAGAAATGAGGGAGGATAAGGCTGAGTGAGACCTCGAGAGGGTACCTGGTCTGCTCCCAAAGGCAGGATTAGCTCTGCCTGTGCCTAAGAGCCGCTCGTCTGCTCGTCTTGATCCTCCAAGAATTTTTCTGTCCCTTTTCTAGGTGGCTCACCTCTCTTAAAGAGCATTTCTTGATGTTCAAGTGTTCAAGGCCAGGTTGGACGGAGCTTGGAGCAACCTGGTCTAATGAGCTTTAAGGAAACCATTCTTTGATTCTGTGTCAGCCTGATGTGTGCCTCATCTTTTCTTTGCCCTACCTAGAGAAGATGTGGGGACAAGTTCATCCTTCTTTAAAAGCCCTTTGTATCCACCAAGGCCACCATCACGTCTCCACAGCCTGCCCTTCCTGCTTTCCTTTATCCTAGTAGTGCTTCAAGGCTCTTGTGGGTCTCTGGTGCTTCCTGTTGCTCTCCCACACCTCAGGCCATTCCTGATGTCTCTCCTACGACATGAATGTCCCCTCCAGCTCATGAGTCCCCATCTTGGTGTGTAGGTTTGGAGCAGATACGCACAGAAGCTCTCGGACCTCGCCAAGCCGGAGAACATCGAGATGGCCGTGCAGTGTCTGAACGAGCTCATCACCAACGCCCTCCACCACGTCCCCGACGTCCTCACCTACTTGTCCCGCCTGAAAAACCAAAGTGTCTTCAACTTCTGCGCCATCCCCCAGGTGAGTTCTGCTTTCAAGGGGTTCTTCACCATCTGGTGAGAAGCTGGAGGTGAAGGAGGTTGTGGATCATGTGTTTCTAGCCTGTTTTATTCTCCCATTTCTTCCTTCTTTCCTGGTACCTACCACTTCTGCCCTTGGTGAGCTTGTGGCTCTGTTGCAGTGTCTTGCCATCAGTGTGACTAGAATCAAGGTGGGCTCTTGGCATGTTCCTCCCAGTGCAGTAAAGGCTCTCCATGTGTGTCCTTAGGTGATGGCCATTGCCACGCTGGCTGCCTGCTACAACAACAAGCAGGTGTTCAGGGGCGTGGTGAAGATTCGGAAGGGACAAGCCGTCACCCTCATGATGGATGCCACCAACATACAAGCTGTCAAAGCCATCATGTACCAGTATGTGGAAGAGGTGGGTTCAGCAGTTGGCTTTGAGTAATTTCTGGCTGTGCCTGTGCCCGTTCTTGGTGTGGAATTGGGAACACATGTGGTGACTCTGTTAATCCTTTCCTTGTATCCTTTAGCTCAGTAGTGGCAGGGAATGTGGTTTTGGCCTGGGCTAAACTGGGTGCTTGATGTGTTCCCTTGAACACATCTGGGCCTCTGATGAGAAGTAGAGACTGAGGCCAGTGGCATCCTGGCCTGTGTCAGCCATAGTGGGGCAGCAGGACCTGGGAAGTGATTGTCCCTCTGTGCTGGGCACTGGTAAGGCCACACCTCGAATCCTGGGGTCAGTTTTGGGATCCTCATGACAAGAAAGACATTGAGGGGCTGGAGTGTGTCCAGAGAAGGCAATGGAACTGGGGAAGGGGCTGGAGCACCACAAACAGCTAAGGGAGCTGGGGGGCTTAGCCTGGAGAAAAGGAGGCTCAGGGGGGACCTTCTTACTCCCTGCTTTAAGGTCTTGTGGAGGTTAAAAATTCATGTGGAGGAACAACTACTGAGTGGTTTCATGGGAAAAAAACCACCCCACTCCCCAAAACCCAAATCCAGTGGGGGCTGTTAAGTAAAAAGACGTCACTTCTGTACTAGAGAGACCCCAAACCATGGGTTATTAGAGCTGCCCTTGTGGGCTGGCCTTGTGGCTCTGCTTGTACCCACCTTGCTAAGACTCGTGCAGACACTTATCCCAAATGCCATGGGATTTGAAGAGAAAACCCAAAAGACCATGGAATTAGCTGATGGATGTGGCTGTTTCCAGGCAGTCACACGCTCAGGTGTCCCCTCTGGTTTTAGCTGAGCTGCAGCACATGTGCAGTGAGTGAGGGCTGCAAGGTGAAAACCACTGGTTCCAGTACCACCACTGGTGGTTGAGGGATCTGTGTGGTCCATGTCCCGTCATGGGGTGCCCTCAAGAGGCAGCTTGGCTTAGTGCACTTCCCAAGGGAGACTCCCTGGACCCATCCAGGCAGCCGGTGCTCCATGGCAGTCCACCACCGAGGTTACTCTTGAGGACACGGTGGCCCTTAAACCTTCCTCTTCCAACCAGTGTTCCTATTTCTCTCCTCACCTTTGCGTGGAAACCACAGCTCCTCTTTCCTCCTCCCCTAGATCTACCAGAAGATCCCAAGCACCGACCCCTCCTCCAACAAGACGCAGCAGGTCATCGCCTCCATCCGCGCCATGAGCCTGCCCGGCAGCTCCATGGCATCCCGGCACCACTACTCCCCCATCTACCTGTCCTGTGCCATGCTCCTGGCAGCCCTGAGCTGGCAGTACCTCAGCACCCTCTCCAAGGCCACCGAGGAGTACGTCCAGGCGGGAGAGAACTGATGGGCAGCGGGTGGGTGGGGGGAGAGCTGGTTGGCAGGTGGGCAGCAGGGGCAGGAGGCTCCATCCGTGGGGATGGCCAGGCCCTGGGCACTGGGAATGTGAGAGGATGGGACCCCCCCGGTGAGCTGCAGCCCTGGGGTGACACTGTGGCATTGCTGGACTCCATCCTCACTGCCCTTGCCAGCTGCTTGGATGGTTACAAGTGCTAATTGGAGTCTTTTTGTTTGAGGCTGAGTTATTTTTTTTCCTCTTCTTTTCTGTTGGATGGTTTTACCTGAGGTTTTCTTTTCTTTTTTTTTTTTTTTTTTTTTTTTATTAGGATGATTTGAAATAGAAACTCCAGTTGCTTGTTTTCTTCCTTGAGATTTGAGGCATCTTTTCCAGCTCAGAGCTGAGCAAAACCCTGAGGGTTTTGCCTCCCTTTCTTAGGCAGCCTCTTCCCCATTGCCTCCTGTGCCTGCCCCTTTCTGGAAGGATGCTGCTTCAGCTGGGAGAGGAACACGCTTTCTTATCCAGGGAAAAAGCTCTGGCCACCTTCTGGCCCTCAGCCCAGCCTGGTTGACATCCTGCAGCCTGGAAACAGGCAGAGGCAGAGGCTATTTCTGTTGTGCTGAAGGATGCTGAAGGAGGCAGAGGCTATTTCTGTTGTGCTGAAGGATGCTGAAGGAAGCCTTTTTAATGTTAAAGAAATAGAAGGTGAGATGCTCTGTTCACTTAAATGTGCCCCCAGCTGAAAGGCAGCTGTGCAGTTCCCTGCCCTGTGACAGATGACCCCTGCACTGGCAAAGCCCTTGTTTTAGCAGTGGGGAGGGGGTTAAAATGAGGAGGGAGATGCCAGCATGGCCCTGAGCTCATAACCCCAGGCCTGACTCCTCTGTTGGGTCTGGGCTCAGCCCGAGGGGATGGGTGGTGGTGGCACAGCAAGGCAGGGGAGTGAGGGTTTGCACCCTGTTGTCCCTCGTGGGATGTTTTTTGGGGAGACACTGGCCACCCTGAAAGGCAGCAGCAATGCCTGCCATGGGCTGGGAAGACTGGAGCCCCTGAGGGGGCGACCAGGGCAGGTTTCCCTGGCCTGCTTGGCTCCAGCTTTGGAATGGTGCTTTGGGTTACACTGATGTGAGAGCTGGAAGAGGCTGGTCTGAAACACATCAGACACATTTGGACTTAGAAGAGGAAAAAAGCACTTTAAAGGCAAGTCCTCTTATCCTGGGGTGGATGGTTGTTGTCAAGGTCCCTACCCACCCCCATCAAATGCTGCTTTGCTGTTGTGAAGGGAGGGAGAGCCCATGTCCTAGAACAGGACAGAGCTGCCAGGGACAGTCTGGTGGCCTTTGCAAGGCCCATCCCCTGTGGCCAGGCTGTTCAAAAGGAGAACCCCAACTCCACAGGTACCAATGTAGATAAGTTTTAAGCTGTCATTCTGAAGAAACTTGTGGTAGCTCTCTTTGTGCAGCTTCCAGTCTTGTTGAGATTAAAGTTTTCTTTGGGAAAAAAAAAAAAGTGTTGGATTTTTTTTTTCTGGCTGTCATTTCTTTTACACCAGTAATTCCACACACAAGTTACAAGCCCTCAGCTCAGATACAATTCCAGTGCTTCCTTGCTGCCAAGTCAGGGTATCACAGCACAGCCCTGCGTGCCAGACACAAAGGAAGAATTTTAACCAGGGTGACAGCTGAGGGGCAGTAAATTAACTTTGAAAGGAGCTTGCCCAGCAGGCAGCAGGAGTGGTGGCACAGCCCTGGGCTGCAGACATGTGCTCCAGTGTCTTGGTGCATCCTCCTCCAGGGATACTGGGGACAGGTCTGGCTGTTCTCTGATCCAGGCTGAAGCACCTTCCCCACCACCAGCACAAGCCCCAGGCAGTGGCTCTCACCAGCCAGGGAAGTGCAAGTGATTTTCCTGCTCTGCTCAGGTGAGACCCCACCTGCAGAGCTGCCTCCAGCTCTGGGTCCCAGCATCTAAAGGACATGGAGCTGCTGGAGAGACTCCAGAGGAGGCCACAAAGATGCTCCAAGGGCTGGAGCCCCTCTGCTCTGGAGACAGGCTGGCGGAGCTGAGGGTGTTCACCTGGAGGAAAGAAGGCTCCAGGGAAACCTTAGAGCCCCTTCCAGAGCCTAAAGGGGCTCCAAGAGAGCTGGAGAGGGACTTTGGACAAGGGATGGAGGGACAGGACAAGGGGGAACGGCTTCCCACTGCCGGAGGGCAGGGTTAGATGGGATATTGGGAAGGAAATCTTCCATTTGAGGGTGGGGAGGCCCTGGCACAGGTTGCCCAGAGAAGCTGTGGCTGTCCCATCCCTGGAAGTGTTCAAGGCCAGGCTGGATGGGGCTTGGAGCAACCTGGGATAGTGGAAAGTGTCCCTGGCCATGGCAGGGGGTTGGAACTGAATGATCTTAGAGGTCCCTTCCAACCCAAACTATTCCATGAAGACAGAAAGGTCTCACCTGCTTCCACACCAATCATTTGAGGTGGTTGGAAGTTGAGCAGAAGCAACCAGGGGCCAGGAGACAAGACACTGGAGAAATCATTTATTGGCACGGTTGTTCCAACCACAACAGCACAGCTCTGGCTCACTGGTGTTTGAGTAAGCAGAGGTAAAGGGCTATTTTACAGTGCATGGGAGAGCCTGCTTCACATGTTTCAGCCTGCAGCCTCAGCTCAGTAATATACTTTGTGCTTTAATTAAAAAAAAAAAAAAAGCTCTTTTGCTATATTAGTGTTGGCAAATCATGATTCCTCCTACACAACTATTACACAACCTCCCCCCAGTAAAAAAAATAAGGGTTTTTTTCTTCCTTAACACCTGTGGCTCAAGAAAAAAACCGCTTCAATTGTGTGCAAGTCAGTGAGATACCTCCAAGCATCTGCAGCAGACTTGGGAGCCATCCCTCAGGTCAGCATTCAGCACCTCTGGCGCCAAAGCACCCCAATTTTGGGTGCTGCACCCTTGCCCAGGGTTCACACACCAAGCTGCCCAGCCATGGATATAAAGTGGTTTGCTCTTTCCAGTGTCCTCCTGGATGCTGGCAGGATATTTGATCAAAGGCTCACGGAGCTCCAGCCAGGCCCTTCCCCGGGATCAAGGACCCCAGACTACAGCAGATAGAAACCAAATGAACAGTTGAAGTGGTTTAAAAAGCCAAATGGATGGAGCAGAGCAAGCAATGCACAAAGGACTTGGTGCAGGCAGCTCTGGCCAGAGCCAGCCCCACATCAAGTTCATCAGTATTTTGTCACTAATAGGTCTAAATTTAGCCAGTTCAAGGCACACACTAACATTCCCTGCTTGTTTTGGGTACTAACAGTCAGACCAACCCAGCCAGGGGTGCACAAATCCCTCCTGGCCATGGCTTCCCAGCAGGATCCGTCTCTGCTGCCCCAGCAAGTCCCTAATCCCAGCACAAAGCTACTGCTTCCTGCCCTCCCAGTAACAAACTGGGCTGGAAGGGGTCCAGGCTAACCAAACACCAAGAGGCCAGCGAGCTCCCCAGCAGTCCTTTGAGCAGGGAATGCCCCATGGCTGCAACCCACCAGGAGCAGAAGGTTGGCAGAGAGCAGCTCCACCTCCAGCTCTGATGTACAAAAAAAAAAAAAAAGAAAAACCACCAAAAAACCTGAAAAACAACCAAAAAAAAAAAAAAGGAAAAAAAGAAAAGATAAAAAGCTTTAATAAAGTAATCTCAACTATAGTCTCTTAGAAGAGGGGGGTCTCTGCACCCAACCCACTATCAGTTAAAAGCATCAGGGACTCGGGATTATTTGTGGTTTGATCCAAAGTTACATCCTCTTCCAGTACTGCTCCGTCCTGGGGATGCCGGCCACGACCTCGGACTCGATGCCGCAGTGGTCCTCCCCTCGGAGGATTTTGAAGAAGCCTGGAAGCACACCAAGAGCAACACTCAACCTCAACCTCCTCACCGTGCCCAGGAGAACAGGGAGGGGGTTCCCCGCGGGGCCTCACCGTTGTCCCCCCAGTCGGTGTTCCAGGAGTTGGCCACCAGCCAGTACGGGGTGTCGTTCTCCACCCCCCAGCCCAGGATCCGGATGGCGTGGCCTCCAACCTGCTCCCCGGACACGTGCTGGTACACCCCTGCAAGGCAACACACCAACATGTCCATGGGCACCGTGTCTCCACGGCACAGAGCAACGAGAGGTTGTGGGACACCTGATTTGGCGACCCAGAGGGCAGCTGAGAAGAGGTTTTTGGTTAAATGTGAACCTGAAACTCAAGGGTCTGGAGGAAGGAATTTTACATGGGGAGACAGTGCCAAGACAAGAGGGAATGGTGTTAAACTACAAGAGAGATTTAGATTGGATGTTAGGAGGAATTCTTGGTGTGAGGGTGGTGAGGCCCTGGCATAGGTTGCCCAGAGAAGCTGTGGCTGCCCCATTCCTGGAAGTGTTCAAGGACAAATTGGATGGAGCTTGGAGCAACCTGGGCTAGTGGAAGGTGTCCCTGCCCATGGCAGAGGGTTGGAACGAGATGATCCTTAAGGTCCCTTCCAACCCAAACCATTCCATGACTCTATGACTGACGCTCAGCACCAGCTCAGCACACAGGACATCCAGAGACACTCAGCAAGGGGCCAAAAAGCAGTTCAGAACAAGGAATTGGGGTCCTTCTGCCAGGATTTTACCTAAAATCCAAGCTGTTGTTCTCAGCTGGAATTTGGGGGAGTCCCCATCAAGGTTCCCTCCCTGAACCACTCCCAAGCACTGATTCCCTTTGCTATAAACCAATGGATACAGCAGATGGCATCAGCCCATGGTCCTGCCACACCAGATACTCAAGGGTGAGCTTGAGATCTCCTTTCAGATTTGAGCAGAGGGACAAGGGCCACAAAGAAAGGACCCTCTGGATGAAGCAGGGAACAGGGCTCCCCCCAGCCTCAGTGCTGACACTCACCAGACTTGTACATCAGGAAATCCTCATAAACAATAAAGGCTCCTTCCACTGGGCCGTTCTTGTAGATCTCAGCCATGATTTCCTTCTCACTGCGAGGGACTCCATAGGAGGTGATGCCTAGGGAGGAAAAAATTCCCATCATTAGGACAGAACAGTCAGGCCACACAGGGATTGGATGGCTCGGCTGAGACTGCTCAGTGTGACCCTTCAAGAGGCCTCTTCCACTTAAACTCAGGTTAAATTCAAACCCAGCTGCTCTGGAGACACTGACACAGTCAGGCAGGCAAAGTGGGCTCCAGATATCCCTCTTCTACAGGGAATTATTTCATCTGAGTCATATTCTGTACCCAAAGACCTATTCCAGACAGCTTCAGAGGGAATGGACATTTTCTTCTTGTACATCCTCAAAAAACAATCCAAATTACTCAAGGCTGAGACAAATCTTTAAGAAACAGTTGGATTATCCTAAATGTACAGGGCTGGCTCTACCAAGGAGTCAGAAGGAGGTGGCTTTGACACCACACAGGGCTCAGCACCACACTCTTCAACCCAGCCACATGCATCATGAAGACTCAAACCATTTTCTTTCCCCAGTCTCAGCTGATGGGGAATACAAATACAAACTGTGCATCTGCCAGGCTGCTGTTTGCTCCAGGACCATCAGACTGGGGTCTCCAGGGACAAGGCACAGAAAATAACCACA